CCCTTTATTTTATTGTATTTTTTGCTACCTGACATCTACGTGGACCCTAAAAAGTACCAGATCAGAATTACTCTGAGAAGTGCTAACAGCAGCCCTCATGGGTCTCTGTACTGGACAAGCGGCCATAAGATCTAAAATGGGTGAGCGGCTGGGGATTTAGCTCAGCGGCAAAGCGCCTGCCTGGCAAGAGCAAGGTTGAGTTCGGTTCCCTGTACCAGAAGAAAAACCAAAAATATAAAGAATAATAAAAAAAAAAGTAAAATAAAATGGGTGAGACCCGGCAAACAACAATCTCAAGCAGGACTTTCAGGAAAATACGGGGGTACATTTCGGTAGGATGCGTGGAGCTTCTGGCATGAGTGCGGAGCAGAATCGCTGTGGGGGAGGAGCAGCAGGAGAGGGGAGGAGGGAGGGCAGGCCCTGAGGTCACTCGTCGTCAGTCCCGCCCCATGGCCCACCCGCGGGCCCTGAGGCTGGCCGGGCTGAGGGCGAAGGGGAGGAAGAGAGGGCCGGCCACACGCTGAGCGGGGAAGGAGAGGGAGCCCGTGGTCACGAAGCCCTGCGCTGGGGGCCGCACGCCCTGGGCTGTTACTCTTTAATGACGGGCTGGGCATGTCTCTCACCCATCTACTCAGAAAGCTGAGGCAGGAGGGTTGAAAGTTCGAGGGCAGCCTGGGCACCTTAGCAAGACCCTGTTCCGAAAGGAAGAAAGGAAGGACAGACCGCTGGGGCTGTGGCTCTGGGCTCCTTGGGCCCAGTCCCCGCACCGGCGGTCGTGGACGGGGCATGTGGGTCAGCAGTCAGAGCGAGGGAAGCGCCACAGCGGCCCCTGCGGATGCCAGGAGTGACCGGACACTGGTCCGCGGAGTCCCGCGAGGGCAGGGCTGCAGAGCCGGTTTTCTCCCCTGGGCGGTTCGGGGTGGACCCGCAGGCCCCGCTCTGGAAGTGCAGGGTCCAGAAGCGGGCGATGAAGCGGGCACGGGAGCAGAACGGCTGCACAGGAGAGCGCGGGCCGCTGGGCACTGCGGGGCGGGCAGGGCCGGGCAGGAGGAGGGACGCGAAGCGGGGCGGGCAGCGGGAGACGCCAGAAGGGCCGGCGGGAGCCGCTGTCCTAACGCACGCGTGTCTGTGGGTTTTGTGTCGTGCTCTCCCCAGCGTCTGCTCTTTGTCAAGTGCGGGGTAGACACGGGCCTGCCCGCTGAGAATGCCAGCTGACATCCCGCGGGTGGGAGAGACGGCCCCCCGTGACGCGGGTTCCCTCGGCTCCTCCCGGGGTGTCCACCCGCCCCCGGCCCGGAGGAGCCCCCACGGGCGAGCGCTGACCCGCAGTGCCCTCTGTGTGCGAGGCCGGGCCTCCCCGCAGCCGTCCCTGCTCGGAAGGAAGGCTCGGGCCGCTCGAAAGGCGGTGCGTCCGGAGCCGCCCGCGCTGGGTGTTGCCGCTGGCCTCGCGCCCTCGGTCAGGAACCGCCTGGCCAGGCCGTGCTCTGGGCCGCTCCCAGGATCTCGTTTCCTGCAGCTCTCCCTGACGCTCACGCCTCTTCGTGCATCCATGGCTGCCCCTGCGCCTCGCTCGAATACCTGAACGGAAAGTTAGGAACATCTGATCTCTTCGTCAGACCTTTGGGAGCAGATGACAGGACCGCTGGCGCGTTTCCGGATACTCGGCGGCTCGGGCCATGTAGACAGGCCCCGAGGGCTCGTTCTTCTCTCCGTATCTCTCTCCTCTCGCCGGGGAAAGTCAGACGCCCTGGGTAGGTCATGGTGAAAGGACCAGCCTTACAAGCACAGCAAGGAAAGGAAGCGAATGTTTCTCCTTCACAGGCGTCGAAAGCTGCTGAGGTGCAGCTCAGAGGCAGAAGACGCGGCCGTTGTGCACAGGGTGCTGGGTTTGATCCTAGCACCACACACACACACACACACACACACACACACACACACTAAACAAACAAACAAAAATGAATTCAAAATGTAGGCACTTAAAATTTAAATTAGGTAGAAATTAGGCAAGGCTAGCACAGAGACACCAAGTTTTTGGGCTCAGCATTATTCTTACTGTCCCTGTACTGTTTTTGGTTTGTTTATTCGTGTGTGAGTGTGTGAGTGTGTGAGTGTGTGTGTGAGTGTGAGTGTTTGTGAGTGTGTGTGAGTGTGAGTGTGTGTGTTACTGGGAATTGAACCTAGGCAGTACTCAGCTATAGTCCAGCTTCTTACATTTTTTTATTTTGAGACTAGGTCTTTTAAAATTGCCCAAGCTGAGCTTCACTTGTGATCCTCCTGCCTCGGCTTCCCAGAGAGTAGGTTACACGCGTGTGCCTCTGCACCTGACCTCACCCTTTGATGTGGGGCAGCCCAGAGCCTTCATCTGGCAGAAGAGTGCTACGCCACGTGACCTGGAGTTCCTCTGTGCGTACGTGGCCACGTTCCCAGATTGCATCAGTAGGGCGGGTTGTTACGTCAAGTACGGGAGGCCGTTGTTTTAGACTGAGAACCTGCGCTGAGTTCCAACCACCAGGCTAAAACTCAGAATGGAGTCGCCTGTGCTGGAGTTCCAGGCCACCAAGCTGAAACGGAGCTGTCTGTCTGACTTACTGAAAAGTCCGGGGTAGGGTTAGCTGCACTTCCCCGCAGGCCGGTTGTACCTGGCATAGTAACGATGTTTCTGTGCCTTCGTCTTCCAAGACGCACCCTGAGAAACTCAGTTTTCTAACTATTTTTCTATCGTTGTCTCTGCTTCACACAGAGACAAAGCAAAAGACCAAGCCCGTCTTGTGCTTTGTTCCGCCTCCTTCAGCCTTTCTCCTCTGTGACCCCAGCCTCTCCTCTCGGCCCTCAGAGCACTCACCGTGACTTGTGGGGTGAGACATGGCCTGATGCTGCCATAGAAAACAAACCCCATTCGACCTCCGCGCTGTAGCCCTTCCACGCGGTCCCTAAGTGCTCGGTCCACTGGTCCACACAGTCCCTCCACGCGGTCCCTAAGTGCTCGGCAGTGAGTGCTTATCCTGGATGCTGCATGTTCTTCAGAAAGATCGGGGAGAGACGTGGGACCGTGACAGGAAGGGGACACTGCAATCTTCATGGTGTGGCCGGGTGATTAGCACACGGTGAAGGCGGCCTGGACCGGGGGGGCATTCTCCAGTCCCGGAGAGGGTGGGGTCTGCAGGGCCGAGCTCTACGGTCTGTGCGACCGGCTATAAATGCGGAGGCTGCCTTGGACGGAGAGTGGACAGGTTATGAGGGTGGAAAACTCAACCAGAGAATTTAGTACCTGGTTAAAGCGAAGTGGATGAGGGCCTTGGAGGTAAGGTTATTGTCCAAGCAACACCCTCCAATAGAAGAGAATGCCAGGGACTCGTGTCGTTTTTATTATTCTAAAAAGAGGCCCGAGGTGGTGGTGCAGTGGTAGACTATGTGGCTGGCCCTCACCAGGCCTGGGTTCGATCCCCTGCACTGACTAAATAAGTAACAGTACAGAGAAGCAAGTGAAATCAATGAATTCGGACATTTACCCCCAAAAGTCAAAATAAGGTCTAAACATAGAATCAGTATAAGAACCATGACATGTTTTGTGCTCACTTGGTGCTGAACCTCTGAACGCAGCTGTGTGTTTTCCACTTTGCTCACATTTCTGGTGCTACATAGCCAGGCGCGGCTGCAGGTGTCCGTCAGGGCAGCGCAGCTGCTGCAGGCCGGAGCCCAGGTGGCAGTGGCGGCCGTGGGACCCTGAGCTCCTCTGTGGAAGTAGAGGGCATGTCACCAGCACTATCGGAAGCTTTCTTTTCTCCTTTTGGACTATAGTTGTTTTCAAGTGGCCCCGCTTTGCTTGCCCTATTCTTTCTTTTGTAAGGGCCACTGCCGCGAGCATTAATTGTGTGGGCTCTCGGGCAGCCAGGCACGCAACGCTTAAACATGAAGAAGTCGTGTTCTGAGAAAGGCAGCAGTGGGTTCTGTCCTGTGCGAATGAAACAGAGCGTCTTACACAACCTGAGGACAGCTACCACCTTACGGAACCACAGTTAAATATGCGCTCCGATGTGACTGACGTGTCCATAGGTGATGCGTGACTGTACTTAGCATGATGACGTAGAGTGGCCTTGGACTGGGACACGCAGGGCAGCGGATGAGAGAATCAGAGACACAGAAGGACTTGGAGGCTCAACCAAGGACTGGAAGGGTTCGTGCTGCCCCAGCCCATTCAGAGCTCTTCCTTCCAGGGTATTTGGCTGACTCCTGGGATACCTACGCAGCCAGTGCCCTCCTGGCAGGGCCCCTAAGTGAGGCCTGGACGTGGACAAAGACAGAGAGGAAGAGGATGCAATAAATGACAACAAATGGAAGACAGACACGTAGATACCTACAAAACGTACTACGTGCGTGCATGGAAACACCACAGCGAAATGCGTTGATCTGTACAATTAATATATGCTCGTCACGGTACTATAAAGGATAGGAGGCAGATGCATAGAAACGCCAAGCTTCTCTTGTGCAGCACAAAGCCGGTGGAAGTCACATGCTGGCTGCCCCTCGATGTTGTGCAAATAATTCATAGTGTGCTGCAAGCCATGGGAGAAACTAGAGAAGAGCAGACCTGGGATTGTGAGAGGGATTTCTGCAGGACACCGCCTGAGAGAGCAGCCCAGGGAGCACTCCGGGGACATTCAGCGTGAATGCATCCAGGGCGGTGTATAATTATAAACACTTGGGGTTATCATCGCCAACAATAAAGGAGATAATCACACTAATCAATTGATTTGGACAAAGCTTTTGGCATTCTCCTGGTAATCAAAAGTAGGATAATTGATAATGTATACTTAAAAAATCACAAAATATAATCCTATTGAGAAAGAAAATCCTTTTGCCCAGACTTTATTATAGGCCAAGCATTTGGAAAACATCATAAACTGTATAAACAGTCATTTCAGTTGCTCCAAAGGGGCAGGCGCTGGGATTAAAACACTGAGAAGGAAAATAGCAATTTAGAACTGCAGCGACTTGCTCAGAAGTTCCCACCCAGCCAGGAGCCCATGGTGCTCGTAGGGCAGACTGCAGTGTCCCTGGCTTTCCTGCGAAGCCGTAAGGAAGACTGCAGATTTGGGCAACGCCCGGGGCACACCACCCGTGGTTTACAGCTTTCTCCTCTCCTCTTTGCACCAAACTCTGCTGAATTCACATTCGCGGGGGCACAACAGAGCCTTGTTCCCTGAGTCACAATGAGGAGCTTGTGCGGATGACCGGGATACCTTGATATCCTGCGGGGTTTCCCTTTGAAATCTTCTATGGTCTGAGGCCAAGAGCAGGAGTCAGCAAGATCTCTGCGAGGAGAAGACGCCTCAGAGAGGCACTCGGAATCCCGCAGTTGTCTTCTATGGCATCCGCCCCTCCCTTGCAGCCCGTGGAACCATCCTCGCGGCAGTTGAAGCCACTATCTCCTCCACCCCCATCTCTCCAGTCTGCTCTGGATTTCTTATGACTCAGCCTGAAGCTGTGCAATTAAGAACACAGATCATGAATTCACCCTTTTATTAAAATACATTGCTGCACATTTCAGTTATGTCTACACAGCAATAGCTTAACAGTTCAAAGTGTTGTCCACTTCTGGAATCCTAGACTAGTTCACATCCACACATGGAAATTACGGAGATAGACACTGAGCAGGAAGGAACACGGGATTGTTTTCATATACAGACAGTTTGACTTCTCGCTTAGGGCTTCCTTCACTCTGCGCCTTTCACTAGAGAGACTGTGTCCGAGGTAACGTGCCAAGCACTGGGGACTCAGTCAAACCACTAGCTCCACCTGGTAGGGAGGCCAGTTCTTCAGGTACCTGAAGAGGGTCCCAGAGAATAAAGAACTGAGTGTGCACGTGAGAGAAAGTAGAAATTAGGCAGGTGCCCTGCCCCGAGTGAGGAGGTTAGGAACGCAAAGATAGAGCGGTAACCAATGGAATAGGATAGAGGCCCTTTAACGAGAAGCTGAAGAGCACTTTTGGATTTTCGCTTTTAAGAAACTTGCAAGGTACTGAAAATCAGATCTTACTTACTGCAGCTTGCAAGCTAAAAAGTCATTTAATGATACCCTAAAGGAAAACATCCAAATTTAGAACAAAACAAAACTGGGGCATGAGAATGAATTTGATAGTTCTGCAAAAGCACCAAAGTTATCACGATCAAGGTGGCAGCGTTCTGGGTCTTCTAGATGCCCACCTGCTCTTCCATTGCCTTGTTTTGCGCCCTGCCCCGGTCAGGGAGAGGGTGCGGCTCCAGGTCGTTTCAGCGGGTTGGTTGCTGATGGGGTTTCCCTCTTCTTTCCTGGCCTGGAAGCAGAGATCTAATTTTAATTTATTTTCCCAACTGGTTGACTGGTAGAGGAAACAACCTCTTCACTGCTTATGAATCCCTTCTTGTCCCCTGTGTTTAGCAGCGTTACTACACTGGAGCCTCCAAGGAACACTGGAGGGGCCCGGAGGAACCGGGCTGTGCCCCTCCGGCAGCCAGCGAGAGCAGAGCTGACCCCAGTAACAGTGGGTCCTCTCAGCTGGAGCATCTGGTCAGGTCTACAGGGCGCTGGGCAGCTGTCAGGCAGCGGGTCATTCAGGAGGAAGCTCAGCGAATGGAGAAGTGAGAATGTAACCGAGCGCACAGCCTCCCTGAGCGTGGCCGGAAAACCGCGAGTGGAAAAAGCAAAGCTGCCCTGAGCAGCCCTTTGAGAACTCGCAGTTAGTGAGCAGGAGCAGTGCCAGAGCTTCATTTCCTTACCTGAAGCGAAACACATGAACACTGTTCTTTTAAATTGCAGAGCCCTCCCCGTGTGCTGGCCCAAGATTCTGAGTGTTATGAAAAGCTTGGTGAGAAAGGCTTTTTCCTGCTTGGTATATTTTGTTGTTTTTTGTGTGCGGCACGGGGACTTGAACTCAAGGCCTGGTGCAAGCTAGGCAAGTGCTCTACTTGGACCACCGCACCACACTCCCAGCACACACACACTGCCTCTGTGTCTCCCTCCCTCCCTTCCTTCCTTCTTTCCTTCCTTCTTCTCTCCCTCCCTTTTCCTTTTCTCATTCCGTTTTTGCGGATGAGAGTCAGTGGTTCCCAGACTGGCCCTGAACTGGCTCAGCCTCCCATGTAGCTGGGACCACAGGCGCGTGCCACCACCTCCCGCTTTCAGTTCGGTTTACTGAGGAGGACCCCGGTGAGCTCAGTGTTGTAATTTATCAGGAAAGGCCTTGGGTCCTGCACAGAGTCTGCCTGGCCCTAGCCCTGGGGCTTCCCTAGTCCTGGATGACTTCACCAGCGATGTGACAGCTCTGAGCTCAGTTTCTTTCTCTGCAAGAGGTAGCCAGTAGGGATGCTTCTCTTTCGGGCTATTGTGAAGAGTAACTGTGGTTAGGCCCATGAATATCACTTTGAGAATCCTTAAAGCACCATTTCAGTCTTTTATCTGCTGCTAAGCAAAAGAATCACTCACACAGAAATGTGAACGTCTACCCCAAACTAACTTTCCCCACTCTGTTCTCACTTCTTCTTTTTCATAGAATCAAGTTACACATCTCGTTGCTAAATTAAATTGATAAACATCTAGTGAGCTCCACATAGGACATCAAGATAAATAGGCGTAGGCTGAAACGGGCTCAGGAACTTCACAATCTAGTAGGGAACAGACACACGAGAAGTTTTAAGTAGAACTCAGCAGGGTTGGCTTCTCTCCTCTCTCCTCAGCTTGCAAATGGCCATCTTCTCCCTGAGGTCTGGTTATGCTGCCCAGGCTCATCTCAGACTTTTGGGCTTAAGCAGTCGTTCTGTCTCAGCCTCTCAATTAGCTTGGACTACAGCTGTGTGCTATAGCACCTGGATTTCCAGTTATCCTTTAGCATCCAAGGGAGACTGGTCCCAAGGCACCATTGGATACCAAAGCCACAGGTGCTCAAGTCCCTTAAATGTCTGCATAGCCTGGAGAATATTTGGATATAACCTATGCACATCTTCCCATATACTTTATACCATCTTTTGATTACTGATAATACCTAACACACTGTAAATGCTATGTAAACTGTTGTTATACTGACTTGCTTAGGGACTAATGATAAGGAAAAAAGTAAGCTCATGATCAGTACATGCACAGTTTTTGTTATTTATTGGTGCTGGGCCTCACGAATGCTAAGCATACCCTTTACTACTGAGCTACATCCCTGGTCCCCGGATGCAATTAAGAAATGATTTTCCACCCACTGTTGGTTGAATCCACAAAAGTAGAGCGCCCGCTGTATCAGCAGTGTTCTCGGAGGCCTGGGCTCCTTGCGTCAGCTGTGCCATTCACGGCTGCTTCTGGCATTTAGTGATCAGAACTACACTCAGTTGCTGAGCTGGTGTGGGCTTTACATGGGCATCCTCGCATACACAAAGACACACAGAGTTCAGTGACGGGTCTGTGTATGGGGTCCCAGGTAGAGGGAGGGGCAGCATCCAAGCCTGGATCATCTCAGGAGGTATTTGAAGCACTGAGGAGCCTCTGAGAATGATACTGGCTGTCTTGTAAAAGAAAGCCTTTGGAACTTTTGATTTGATTTATTCTAGACAATAGGCTTGCCTTGCTACTAAAGGTAAATAAAATTCAGGAAATATCAAACAACCTCTGTTAAAATCCTGAGTATTGTAGCTGATGCCTCCCATCCCATTGCTACAGTACGAATCTCAGTGCTATGCCTATCCTGCAGCAGTTGCTGCTTTCTGAAGGTTTAAGAGACAATAATGAGAGAAAATGCATATTTCTTGGATCGCAGAATAGATATGAGCGCTTTTCCTCCTGGTTTCCCTTTCTGAGTCAATCCTAAATATTGACAGATGAAATTCTGAAGTTAAATTTTCATTTATAGCACCAGTGACAGACTCCGAATTTGTCATATTAAAGGGAGAGGGTTCGCTGCTCTTTACATTTATTGGTTTTTTTGAATTAATATAAGTGGAAAGGGAGCTGTGCAAGAGCTGAGCTCTGCTCTGTAGCTCAAAAGGATCCAGGTAAGAGTGTAAACGAGTGTGCTGTATTCTACGAGCGGGCTATGTTCTAATAAAACTTTATTTGTAGACATCCAACTTTGAATTTCATCTAAAGTTTGTATGTCATAAAATATTATTCGTTCCTTAACCTTGTAGCAATACCATTCTTTAGGGGGTGAGATAAGACTCGGACCACAGGCTGTTACTTGCAGACCCCTGACTTAGAACTGAGAACTTTCAAATAGGACCCACTGTCCTCCAGCGAATTACCGGAATCAAGGGACCGCTGCTCCCTGCAAGGGAAGTAGGTTGAGGCACAGGGAAGGGGATGGGGGAGGAAGCTTCCCACTGCGTGTGTTTCTAGCCCGTGACTTTGGCCGCAGTGAGCCTGGAACTGTTGGCCCCTTAGCTGCACCGCTGCTTGTTGCATGACGGCTTTCTGCCAGGGCCTCAACATGTTTTGAGTGAGAAAAAACACCTGCTTACAGAGTAACCAGACTCAAAGGCAGAACGCATAGCAAATGAAATCTTTCCATCCAAGCAGGCTTTTCCGGTAGTGAAACCAAAAAAAGCAGCAGCTCATACTGATGAATCTGTTTGCAGGGTTTGACCCATGGGTACGGCCCAGTGCCCACCCCTGGGGATCCCCACCCTCAGCTGCTGTGCAGAGCGGTCCAGGAGGCTTGGCAGGCAGGGCAGCTGCCTGGTGAGGGTGATATCTGCTGGGACATGGGCTCCACACCAAGTCCTGTTTCTTCAAAGAGCTCCTTGGGAAGTAATAGAAGAACAATCTGCACGTTCTTAGCACTTCCATGCTAGCTCGGTGCCATCCTCAACATCCCATAAGCACCCTACGCACCGAGGCCGGATGGTCTTGGCGGCAGTACCGAGAGCTGCCAGCCTCGTGAGCACCCTATGAGAGATGCTTTCGATTCACAGTTTAAGAGAGACACTGAGCCTTAACTACAGGTGTGTGAATCACTCCATACCGCTTTTATCACTATATACACTCTTAATTTGTCCCCTTGATAATTATGTGAAGCAAGAATTACTTCCAGAGCCAGGCATGTGTGTGGGCTTACACCTGCAATCCCAGCACTCAGGAAGCTGAAACAGGCAGATCCTAAATTCTGGTCCACTCTGTGCTGCATATCCAGACCTTGTTTTGTTTTTTTTTTTTTAAAGCAAATAAATGAAAAGGAATTGTTATTTGTATTTTAAATAAATAAAGTATCAGAGTCACTGAGTATCTTGCTTGAAATCACAGCATTAGGGCCTAAATTGAATCGTTACCACTTTATGTGCCAAGTCCGATGTCAAAACTTCTTTACTTTTAAAACAATGTGATTGGGAAGTTGAGGGTTTTAGGATTAAAATGAGCAGATACAATAACTCTGACACACAGGCCTGTAACTTTAGTTGTTGTTACGGCTTCTGTCTAGCTGTCCCCCAAAAGCTCATGCAGCCCTTGGTGGGGCTTTTTCAGAGAAGGCTGAATCTGGAGTGTGTAACTGGTACATGGTGCTAGAGTGAAGGGTGCTGGGATTAAGGGTGGGTGACCACTGACGGTTTGGCACAGCCCTGATCCCGATGGCCTGGATACAAAATAAGGTACAGAAGGAGGCTCGTCTTGTCCCTTGTGGCTTTGCTACCTTCTGCTCACCATGAACTGTTTCTCCTCTGTGATGCCACCCTATCTTGGAGCCAGATGATGGACTGAAACCTCTACAAACTGTGAGCTAAATAAACCTTTCCTCCCTTAACTTTGGGCATTGGGTATTTTGTCTCAGCAATAAAAGTAACTAACACAATTGTTTGCACAAAGTAAGAAAGCTTATTTATTTATTTATTTATTTTGGTACCAGGAATCAAACTCAGGACCTTGCACTTACCAGGCAGGTGCTTTGAAACTGAGCTGTATCCCCAGCCCTTGTACAAGTAAGAAAAATTCTAACATTTTTAGGAAAACAGTTTTATGTAATGAAAATAAAAAGTTTCTCATTAGCATTCTTGACCTCTCATTTTTCCTTTAGAATACTAACAGGAGCTGGGCGGGGTGGTGCATGCCTGTAATCCTAGCTGCTCAGGAGGCTGAAATGGGATTGTAGGTTCAAGGTCAGCATAAACAGTTTAGCGCTACACTCTGTAAGTAAGTAAGCAAATAAATAAATAAAGCAATGGGATGTAGCTCAGTGGCAGAGCCCTCTTGAGTGGGTACTGCAAATGACAATAGTAACAGTATTGCTATTCCACTGTTTGGTCCCAGAAAAGATCAAAATTCAAAATTTGAAGAATGGTTTCTACTGAATGTGTATTGTTTTTGTACCATCAAAGTGGGGTAATTCCAAGTAGACCCATCCTAAGCAGTGGACAAGCATGTATGTACATATGCACATAATTATATATATATGCATAACGTTTCTATTGTGGTAAAGTATACATAGAATTCACACTTTAACCACTTTAACATGTGCAATTTATTTGCATTAAATACATTCACATGGTTTGCAGCTAATGTCATTCTATCTCTGGAACTTTTTTGTTATCCTCAACATGAATGTCGTGCCTGTTAGACACTAATTCCCCACTGCCCACTTCCTCCAGGCCCTGGTACCTTCTGTGTCCATGTATTTGATTATTTCAGGTCCTTCGTATATGTGGAGTTATCCAGTATCCCACATGCATGATTATATCGGCAGAGTGAGCACCGCGAACTATGAATACAGGAACAAGTTATTCCTTACCATAGTTTTCTTCTTTTTCTTCCTTTTAAATAAATCACGTTTTTCCCCCCAGTGGAAAAAATGTCCCCAAAACCTATGAGGGAACCGACATGGGATTTGGGGCATAAAAATGGTAGACAAAAAAAGGGATAAGAATCACAAGACAGGAAGAATGGGAAGTCATTAAGACATAACTCACCCCCATAAAAAGAGTAGTAAGGTGAAGAAAGAAACCCTTCCCTTCTTGGCTGTCCCTCCACTTTGTAATAGTTTAATTTTTACCTTTTAAGGACATTTTCTCATGTAATGGTGGAATAATTAAAGCCATGTCTGAGAGCAGTTTTTAGATCTCTGACTGTGGATAGGCACAGATTTATGCATAGGAACTTGATGAACACTCTATATATTTGCTTAAGGTGTCTCCATTTGGGAAAAATAAAATATATAACCCAACTGAAAATTCCTTTCAGTAATGAAGGAACTTTAGAACGAGCAGTAGGAGTCTATCAGCTGTGTGTGTTAGGTGTGCACAATTACACATGACTCACTTGGAGAGGAGAGATGGCTGCTCCTATCCGTACACACGCCCAGCCTTCCTATTGACTGAAGTGATGAAGATCTTCCACTTCCTCTCCAGTCACTGAAACAGGCAGATGGGATTATACCGCTTGACTTTGGATACTCGGCGCTCACCATCAGAACAGTGATGAGGGCCCACCTGCCCCGTGCTATGGCAGGGCTCCCGTAGGAGGGACTGGTAGGTTAGTGAGAACCTAATCATGTCCTCTACAATAGTGTGTGGGTTAATCACACCAACACTTACAAACTGAACTTTGCAGGGCAAGTTAGGGAACGCCAGGGCAGAGCTTAATGAAAACATCCCATGTCAAACACGCCCATATTACGCATGGATTTGAGGTATTTTCATTCACATGCTGATGTGAAAGTCTTCCTTCTACTCTGATTTATAAACTGAAGGATGAACCTGGGTTTAAAAGACCCATACTGGGATGGGGATGGGGGTCTCCACCTCTCCTCAGAGGTGGAGGTCTTGCCTAGCATGCACCAGGCCCTGGGTTTCATCCTCAGCATCCAATACACACGTACAACAAACGACTCTAACCGAAGTTGGGGCTCTGGCTTCCCTTTCCTCGGAGCTGGGGAGGAAACCCAGGCCTTGTGCGTGTTAAGCGTGTGCTCTGCTGCTGGGCTCCTCACCCTCAGAGGGTGCCCCATGCCATCAGTGCGCGGACACTGAAAGCCACAGCACACGTGGGCCTCGCTTTTGCTCTAGGTAGGAGCAGGGCCTGGCCATGGGGTCCCTGATGCCCCCTCCCTGTCCTGTTATGTAGAAACGGAGTGATCACACTGCCTTGGACCCTTGTGAGCCAGGTACGTGCAGATGCCCGGGCAGGACTGCAGCACCTGGGCCTTACCTCACAGTCTCTACTGGGCTTAGGTGGAGACCCGGGCTGGGTTGTCAGGGGTGAAATCACCATGCGAGGGGTGGAGGCTCAGCCTGTGCAACAGGTCGGAAGGAAATGCGGGTTTGAGCAGGGCCGATAAAAACGAAGAGGAGAAAAGGGAACTGGAATAAGAGAGCAAGGCATCAGGCGTGGGGGCCTCGCGCGTCACCGGCATCGGAACAGAGAAGAGGGAGCTGGATGACGAAACCAGCAGGCCCCGTGCATGCCGGAGAAGGGCGATTTCCTCAGGGGCCCTGCGCTGAGGAAGGACGTGCGAAGCAGGCCTGCGCCGCTCTGCAGCTGGCTCCCCGGGGGCGGCCTTTAAAGAAGGAAGTAAGAACTGCAGGTAAGGGACAAGGACACGGAAGCGATGTGCCTGCTGGAATAGAGAAAGAAAAGCCAGGAGCTGAGGAGGGGGAGGCCAGGGCGAAGGCTCCTCGAAGGGCAGCCAGGACACGCCAGGCCTCCTGCAGGGCGTGAATATGTTGAGGCGGAGATGTCCAGGGAGCTCATCCTCACCAAAGATGAGAAGCCGCTGTTGCTCCAACTGCTGGATGCCCTCCTGGGCCAGCTTCCCACTCAAGACATCAAGTCTTTGGAGACGGAGGAAGAGAGCAAAAATAAATCAGGGGGAAGAGCAGGCATGCCCGGGGAAATCAGAACTGGTAGGGAGCTTGTACCTTGGCTGAGCTGACAGGCCAGATCAGCAAGGCGGGGAAGGTGCAGCTCCTCCTGGGCAAGGTGGCTCTGGATGGATGATGGGAACCACCCAGTTTGCAGTAGGAGCTGGCGTCTGTAGGCCTTTGGGACAGTAGGATAGGGGAGATGACAGTCCTGGGACATGTGCCTCACAGAGCTGTATGTTCTCCTGATGTTGAAACCCTCTTGGATAACAACCCTGGTAAAATGAATAGAAGGAGGAGGATAGTGACTGTACCCGCAGTGCAGCCTGTTCCGGATACTCTGTTGTTGAATCCACGTGACCTAGAGGGGCCTGTTGAGCCCACCCACTCCAGCCTTTAGTAGGCATCGTCAGTTTTTCCCCTGGTAGGTCCCACACAGCTCCCTCACCCGGCAGCTCTGGAGGAATAATGACCTCACACAGGGTCAGTAACAGAGGGCAGACCCTTGATGCTGGGGACTTGGCCCTATTTATTTTTATTTATGTCCTAATTTCCTCAGCTGACTGCACCCACCTGGGGGGTGGGGGGGGACGCAGGGGGTGGAAGCGAGTGTAAGGGCTGTGGCTTCAGTCTGAGCCCCTGCTTTCCTCCTGGGAGGCACGGGAGAGCGCAGGGGTGGGGTCTAAAACTTCGTAACTCAGGCTCAGCTTTGTACCCAGCTCTCTATCTTTGGACAAATGACCTAATCTTTCTGAGCTTGACAGTCCTCACCTGACAAACACGGGGATGATACCTACCTCACAGGGTTGATGAAACGATCAAGTGGAACACGCGGATGAAAGCTCCTTGCACAAGGCCAGACATACATACCTGTAGGTGCTCAAACGTTAGTTCATATACACCTATAGCTGCTCAATAAATGTTAGTTTCCCTTAAAAATAAAAAGACATGGTGGCTGGAGATACAGCTCAGTGGCACAAGGGCCTGCCTGGCAAGCACAAGGTCCTGAGTTCAATTCCTGGTACCCCGCCCCCGCCAAAAAAAACCTGCCGGTGATATAGCTCAGAAGCACAGGGCCTGCCTGGCAAGCACAAGGTCCTGAGTTCGATTCCCGGTACCCAAAAAATAAAAAGACATGGGGAATTGTGAAAGCACTGCATGGATGTTCATTACAGCTACCATATTCTCCGGAAGGACACAAACTGCTTCACAGGATTTGGTTTTTTACGTGCCCAGGTAGTTTTGATGACAGTTCTTCACCTTGGGTAGGCCACTTTCCTCCAGAGAAATTCAGAAAGAAGTGCTTCTTAAAACTTCTCTAACGAGGGCGAGGGACATAGCTCAGCGGCACAGCGCCTGCCTGGCAAGCGCAAGGTGTCGAGTTCCATTGCTGGTGCCAAACAAGAAACAAAACAAAACAAAACAAGCTTCTCTAACGGCGGGCTTCTGCAAGTTCAAAACCTCCGCTTACTTACAAATAAATTAAAACCAATACATTTAATATAAATTTTTTTTGAAACAGTAAAATTTGATCTTTAAAACATCGTTTCATGTATGAACAGAGAAAACTTGGACAGAAGGCTCGAAAATGAGCTCGAAGTTGTCATTTGGATACTGATCACATTGTGATGTGAAAAATGAAGTTTTCATTGTTGTTTTCATCACTAGAATAGTAAAGGTAAGTTTATGGGGGGTTTGTTGGATGTGCATTTTTCGGATATAGTGAAAATGTCCACATAAACACTTCCGGATAAAGTATGAAAGCACATTGTGTAGTTTCTGGTTCCTGTTACCGTTAATTTTTCAAAAACAGTCTGTCAAATTTTGATGTGGTATCAAAAATACTTTGCAATGATATGAAAAAGATAGTAAATATATCTTCCTTTTCTAAGTATTTAGCTCTCTGAGGCTAGGGGTTTTTTTTATATATATTTCAACCAAAACATTTTCAACAAAGCAGTTGTAGAAGCAGTAATGACAATCCAAGTGATTTCCATTGGGTCAAACATTAAAAACAAAGACTTCTGGTCAAAGCTGTTCGAGTGCAGTGCTTCGTAACGTAGGGTGGGAGTAGCCCTCAGCAGCTGGAGGAAGAGATCAATCCACACATAGACGTAAGTATGGAGAGGAAGTGTTACTACGGCAAAGATTAAAAAACTGTGCATATGTTTCCCGATTTTGAAAGTCACTTGTCTTGTGATTGTCGGCTAATCTCAAAACTGAACATTTTCTCTAAACTGAAAAGTGATTCCGTAATTCTCACTGTATAATGGAATAATTGGTAAGAAAAAAACGTTTGCCATTTTGGTATATTTCCAGGAAAAACAAAGGTCAGCAACATTTCTACCTATCAAAGGCTGTGGTTAATAAAAGATGTGTTGGTTTGGGGCTTATTTTGCAAGGGGAACAATACAATACAGGACACATACTTTACATGACCATTTACAATAGTCACCCGAAGAACAACATACAAAAGAGTGCAGGGAATCTGTCCCCACACTAAGACCACGGAATCCAGCTGAGGGCCTGGGTCCCACAACAGTGTCCTACATGAGTCCAGCTGAAGACCTAGAGCTCATAACAATGCCTCCCACAAATCCAACTGGAGGCCCAGAGCCCATGACAACATCTCAGGCAGGCCTGTTTCACGGATCTGCTGGGAAGGCCCAAAGGTCAGTGGTGGAATCTACAAAGTCTGTGCTAGCGGGATGAAGGATCTGTGCTAGCAGGCTGAGGGATCTGCACTGGAGCCAGGAAGTGATGCTCAGAAGAACCAGGGCTCCCTTGAAAGGTACCACAGCCATCCTTGGCAATGATCAGGATGGCCGAGTTCCCATCAGGGAAGCCAACGCAGCAAGCTTCTCCAGGAAGCCAGCAATGCACCATCTTCCCCTCCGGAACAAGGAAGCTATGCTCAAAGTGAGGACCAGAGCTCCCCTAAAGTGAACTGAAGCCATTCTCAGTGCCAGCTAGGTCCTGAGCTCCTCGGAGGATAAAAACAGCCAAGTTCATCCGGAAAGTCAGCTCCCCACAGCTTCTACCAGCTCCCAACAGCCTCTCTCAGCTCCCAACAGCCTGCTTCTTCCTCTCCAGGTCTGCCTCTTATGCTGCTGGCAACAGTCCTCAGGTGGGCCTCCCACACCCAGCACCACTCACTCAGTTCAGCTGGGGGTTATAAGTTGACCACCAGTTATCAATCTACTACAAAGTGTTTTCACGTTTTAGCTGAGATTTCCTGCTTAATTCTTCAGTGCAAAGATGTGGTCCATAAACTCACAGGACAGATGATTGGCCTGCTGATGGGTAGGGCAAAGATTACCAGGAGCTCAGCAGAGGAACGACCTTGCAGCAGGGTGAAGGTGGGGGGCCAAGGAAGGCATCCTGAACAAGCAAGGACTGAACTGACCTAAAAGCTGCGTTGGTTTCAGTGAAGTGTGTCTAGCTTATGTGGCGGCGGGGCACTCCAGGGGAGCAAACAACCCATGCAAAAGCCGGGGAACCGACAGTGGGTGGGTCAACGCTGGAGGGCAGCAGGACAGCAGCCTGGGGGAGGCGCTGAGCTACACCCCGAGGGCAGCTTCAGGAGGATTCAGGAATACTCAGGATTCACGCTTGGCAAGGAGATGCCTGATGAGCCATTAAGGAGGTTTTTCATTCACTGATTTAGGAGATAGTGTGTGTGTGTGTGTGTGTGTGTGCGCGCGTGCACACGTGTGCACACTGGGGATGGAACCCCGGACCTTATGCATGCTGAGCACGTACCTTGTCAGTGAGCTGCAGCTCCAGTTAGAGTTCTGACATGTACTCTGGCCGCAGAATTGGAAGAGAGATTGATGGAGAACATCCCCGCAATAGCAGTCAGAAGGTTTTATAAGCATAACAGTAGAAACTGACGTAGAGATGCTGGTGGCCAAACTGATATTAGTACAAATAGAGTGGGAAAAAGATGGCTTTCAATCATTGAGAAATTCAATACTCTTGTAAGTTGCGTATGAATGACGGGAAGTCGAAAGCCCGCTTCTATTGCGGTCAGCCAGGTGGACGTCGCAGGCTCCGCTGCTTGGCTCCTGCAGTACTGGTATCTGTTGCTGCTGTACCTTCTGACCAGACTCAGCCGGTTAACACACAGAGGGGGGCCACCACAGAGGGGAGCTGTGCATGTCACCGCGGTTTCTGCAGGTCTGCAACCTAGGTGCGGCTCAGCTGGCCACCCTGGCTCAGGCGCTCCAGGGAGACTGCGTTCAACTCGTGGCTGGGGCTGCCGTCTCATGCGGGCTGCACCGCGGAGGGACCCGCCTCGTGTAGTTGCTCACAGGCCTCAGCTGCCCGCCACGAGGGCCTCTGCATGTGAAAGCCGGCTTCTTCAGAGTGAGTCGTCCAGGAAAGCGCAGCACGGTGCCCAGGTGGAAGCTGTGCGGGTTCGTGTGGACGGGCAGTTTGGCTGGACTGAGACTCCTGGAGAGGTCAGCGAGTCTAGCCCGCCATAGAGGGGAGGGGACGTCTGTAAGACTGGGACTACTAGGAGGGACGGCCATCTCAGACCGCTTGCGGGTCAGTAACTGCCTTCCATTGAAGAGGTTCCACTAATCAAGCATTACAAGGTACGTTGTCAAATGATGCTAAATTCTAAAGGAAAAAGGAAAACGCGAATCACTTTTCAACATCTCCTAAATGAGGTCGCTAAGATGCGCTAAGGAGTATCTCGGATCTACTGTATGCACTTGTTATTATTTGGTCCTTTTTCGTCTCTTCTCCCTCCCTCCTCGCCTCCCTTTCTTTATGGTGATTTTGGGATGGAACCCAGGGCCTTGTACACCCTTTACTACGAGTCCGCCACAATTAAGCCCCGCCCTCAGTTCTCACTTGCTTTTTCCGGCTCTTTTCATGCTGTGCTGCGTGCTGGTTTTTAATCTTCATATGGTACAGCATACAACCTCAAGACAATGTCTCCAGTGGATACGCCTATGATGAAATGCCTAGAAACCGTTTCTCTTTACAGTGAATCCCGACGCCAGACAGGGCGACTGTCATTAGCAATCTGAGAAGAATTTAAAACATTAAAAAACCTTTGTTGTAAAATTCGATTCTGGGGAGCTGAGCCACAATTACATCGGAGTGGCTCACGTTTTCCCTAAGACACGAGCACAGGGCCACCTTGAGGGGCAGTGTCCTTCTGAGCAAAGCTGCCCGCTTCTGTGACATAAATACATGTGGAGCCCGAGCAGCGGGGCGCAGAGAAGCGTGGTAACTGCGCACGTGCCGGGGCCTGAGGCAGACCTTGAAGCGCCGCTGCCAGCGCGCCCTGCCTCTCAGGGGCCCTCTGCTGTCGGCCTTGAGGCAGAACAAAGGCAGCGCGGAACAGCACGGGCACGCTGGCCCCGCAAGGCTGAGCCCTGAGCCCAGCACGCAGTCGAGGTCATCGCTATTTGCACTGAGTCCACATCAAAATATTTTGGATATATTAAAACGGACTTATTTCCTCACTTTTTAAACGGTTACTAAAAATATAGTTACATTTGTGGTTCCCATGATACTCTCTCGGAAGGTGCTGATCTACAAAAGCCCTACAGCATGGGCAGTCAGGGCCCGAGCTCATTCATGCTGCTGCCTCAGCGCCGGCCCAGACCGTCAAGCGGGCCTGAAAGGATCCAGAGAATTCATCCAAGATCATAACCCGTTCAGGATCGGAACAAAGTGGTTGTGACAATTCAAGGAGCCTGTAGCACACAGAAGTTATATATACAATTTTACTTACCAGTTCTGTTATCCTTTTTATCTGAGGGGTTAAAGAATCATTACTTGCCTTCAGTTGAGACAATTAAGCCGGAATGAACTGAACAGCACCGTTGAAAGCTTCACGTGGAACCTCCCGAACTCTTACTTGAAATCCTGTGAGACATTGATCTTGGTGCTTGTAAGTATCTCACCCTTTGTGCTATAAAATGAAAATCTAGTCACTTAGTCACTTCGCTGCTCATTTAGGCCAGGGGCTCCCTATTATCTAAAGATGAAACCTAAATCCCTAACCACTTTACATTTAATTATAAGGTACCAAAAGCCTCCAAATGCAAAATAATGCTCGCTGTCCTCCAGAAATCTGTATTTGCACTCCCTGAAAGGGAGCCCCTAACAAGGAGCCAAACAGGGCCACTGCACACCTGAAACGTGCCTGGTACAGGCCAAGACATGCTGTGTTTAAGACACACAGCAGACCCCGAAGGCTTAGACAGAAGTATGATCGCTCATGAATAACTGTTTATATTGATTACATGTTGAAGTATTCTGGATAAATGTATTATTAAAATTAACTTCCACTGTATAGTTTTGCTTTTTAAATGTTTATGCTTTGGGTTATATTCTACTAGGAAGTGCTGATCTAGATAGTTCTCACTAGTGATATTCTCCAGCATTTCCACTGGGTACCTCACTTAATTACAGACTGGCTTCCCATTCAAAGCTGGAGCATTAACCTACTTTCTCTTGCTGAAAAGACAGCTTTGTTTGGCACGGTCTCCTGGGAGCGATAGCGGCTCGGGAAGAGAGAGTCGGGCATCCGCGGCTGATGCAAACTTGCTTCTCCCGGGATCGCTGCCTCCTCTGCCTCCCTCAGCTCTGCCCCTGCCCGCCCTCACTGGCCTGCACCTCACCGCTCAGAGCTCCCCCTCGCCTCCCTGCTTCCGGTCTGGCCTGGCGGAGAGCCCTCCTCTGAAGAAGGGCTCCTCACCTAGAATGCGCAGATCTCTAAGAGGCTCATGGATAGAATCCAGGCAGTCTGTGACTGTGGATGGAAAACATTTAACAAAAAGCAAGATCCTTGGCCGGAAATGTAGCTTCATGGCAGAGCGCCTGCTTAGCATGCGTGAGGCCCTGTGTTTGAACCTCAGCGCAGTAAAACAAAAAACAAGCCTCTACTAAATAATACTGGGGCTTTGCCACTGACAGTAATTTATTTTCATTCGCTGTTCCAATTTTCTTGAAATACTGTTTACACGTATCACTACTTTGAAATTAGAGTAGTTACTGGACCCTCCATTAAAATTTTGTCATTTAATGTAGTAATAAAAAAGCACGTTTAGCATCCCACAGATTTGACCTTGGTATTTTAATAACTGCTGTGATATAGTGGGGTTATTTTGGAATCCTAGGCTTTTGTTTTATGCATTTAAAAGCATTTTTTTCCTGGCAAGGGACCCTTGGTCTTTACCAAGCTCCAAAGCCTAAACAACTCCCCACGCTGAGGATGCAAGATACTCTTCAGCTTGGCCAGGACCTGGCTTCCTCTCCAGCTATCATTGCAGCCATTTCTCTGTGAGCTCAACAGTAACTGAGCTTAAATATCCATGTGTTTCTTTTCCTGTGTCTTCTAAATGCTTTCTCTGTCTTGGAACATTTTGTCCCGACTTGTCATTTGGGAAAACTCCTTCTCTGCCTAAGTGTCTCTGATAATTTCTCAGTGTTCATACCATGACTTACCACACTGTATCACACTGACTAGCTCCTTAAGGGACAATAGGGGTCTTTATCATCTCCCACCCACTCTGGTTAGCAAATGAGGGAAATCGCATTTTTAAGGTAGTAATTGGGTATTTTTCATATTAATATACAAATACTAAAGGGATAGTGATTTTTTTTGTGGTTGTTCTTTTTTTGAGACAGGGTCTCGATATGCGGTTCAGAGTGGCCTTGAATTATGTAGCTCAGGCTGGCCTCAAACTCATGGTGAGCCTTCTGGCTCAGACTTCAAACTAAGCTAGGACTATAGGTGTGCACCATCATGTGTAGCATGATTTTTTTCTTTTTATGGTAATATATGAAATTCCTTTACAAATCAATTTTAAGTTTTACAATATTAGCTGAGACAGGGTCTTGATATATGGTCCAGGCTGGCCTTGAACTCAGGGCAGTTCTCCTACCTCAGCCTCCCAAGTGCTGGGATTACAGGCATCCATGACTATGCCTGGCTAAGTTAAAAGGTTTTTAAAAATTAAAATATAGCACATTTTAAGAATTCTTGAGAGGGAGCACCAAGATGGCTTGGTAAGCAGCAGAGAAGGAGCCTGAGAGTTGCTGTCCAGATACTGGAATACAGCAATGTGAGTACAAGGAGGGAAGTGGGTCCCCTGGACCCAGGAAGGATCTGAACGGTGAATTGAAGCCCATGGAGAGTGAAGAGAAAAACTTCAATGAGGAAGGAGGAGGTGGCCGGCAACACATTCTCCCTCAGATGGGACTCACTGTGACAGAGAAGTGGTTCAAACCCGCAGACACACGGTGACTGCTGGAGACCCCAGAGGCCTCCACTGAGATGCAGCAGTGGAGGGGAACAGTGAACACAAAACTGTACTAACTGGTGGTGAATGCTCAGGGTTCACCCCACATGAGGGTGACTGGCCAGGAGCCATCTTGGAGAGAGGCCGACTGAGCTCAGAACTGAGTGGCTGCTGGCTCCATCTAGTGGTTCCTGGTTGGGCTCAAGCCTGTGGAAGGTGCACCGATGGCTGCAGGTAAAATGAGTCTGGTCTTGGCCAGAAGATGCAGGCTTGCTGAGACTACCCACTATCCTACCGAAAAGCTACTGCTAGCTTGCGAGGATAAATCAACAGAGATCAGAACTCTGTCTCCACACACTGTCTACCAGCGACAGCAGAGGCAAACCTGGAAGTGTACTTCTTTTCTCTCTCTGTTTTTTGTTGTTGAAGTGGTTTTTTCCCCCTTTCATTGATCTCGTTTTTATATGAGTGTGAATGTGGTTTCTAGTCTCTGTGGTTGTGGTTATGTTCTGCTCTTCTTTTATCTCTTCCTTCTCTCTTCCCCTCAGTCTTCTGCACCAGTTTCCCAAAGCATGATACCGCTTTGTCCTCCAGCCTTACTTCTAATCTGTTCCTCTTCTTCCATTTCTCTACTTTCTCGCTAATCCATTTTGAATTTTAACTCCTGAGGGCAAAATTGCCCTATTAAGGAATTGTATACTGCATATAATTTTTCTGGTTTGTTTTAGATTTTGTTATATAACCACAAATCTAGTTCATACAGTTAAAGGTGGCAAATTAATGGTTAGCTCAGTTTGTCATTTTCTAGGCTGTTTGATGCTATTGTTATTGCTGATGGCACCACTTTAGCCAAAAGTGACATAATTGTTCTAAACAGCTGTTTTTCCTGGTATTCCAAGACTGAGACTGACTAAGAATCACAGGAAATACTGTGGCACAGTGCCAAAGAACCAGGGGCTGGGCCAAACAGCCCATCATCCCCAATAAACTGAAGAGGTAGGATCTTTCAACAGACTCAAACCCCAAAACCAGCCACATCTGGAAGATACCTCAGAGAACTAGTCACTTCTAAAGGGTTCTAAACATTAGCAATAAAGCAACCCATAAGAGGCAATTTACAAGCATCACCCCAGGAATAAAAGAAAATGAGAAGACACTTAAACTAAATGCAACTCTACACATCCAGTTCACCAATGGTAAACACAGGGGACAGTGAGGTGGGACAATCTGAAAGCCACCCACCTGGCCTCTCTGAAGTGGTAACAACAAAGCAGCTGAATGAGGTGCTAGACAAAATCAAATCAGAAATAATTTCTCAGATAACTACAGAGATGGTGTCTACAATGAAAGCCACACTTAGTGCCTCTAGAGCACATATAGACAAAATAATAGAGGTGGTCAAGAAAATTATGAAAAGAAAAAAGAAAAAAGAAAATTATGGAATCCATAAATGCTCAGCATAGGAAAGACATGAAATCTATAAGGCAGATTCAAGCAGATATCCAGGAGAATAAAAAGTCCATTGAAAATATCCAAAGCACATTAAGCCAATGTGAGGACAGGATCTCAGATATAGAAGACAGGCTTGCAGTTAGTGACCATGAAAACAAATATTTCTAAAAAATAGCAAGGGACTATAAGAAATAAATACAGCAACTGCTACATGAGGCAAAGAGGAATAACTTAAAATTGATTGGAGTCAATCAATCGCACAAATATATAAAGGAGACAGCACAAATTATATAAAAAAACTGTTCACACATGTCATGTGAGAAAACTTCCCTGGTAGAGAAAAAGAATTTGACATATAGATAAGTGAAGCATATAGAAAAGTGAAGCATATAGAACTCTACTTAGCCACAGTCAAAAAAATTTACAGCCAGGCATATCATAGTCAAGATTCCAGAAATTCAACACAAGAATAGAATCTTAAAAGCTGTTAGGGAAAAGAAACAAATCACCTATAAATGAAAGCTCATCAGAATCACAGCTGATTTCTCAAGTCAAGGAGAGCTTGGAGTGAAGTATTTCAAGCTGTAAAGGAAAACAACTTTCAACCCAGGTTGATGTACCCAGCAAAACTATCTCTAAAAATGACGGGGAAATAAGATACTTCCATGACAACAGCTGAGGAAATTTCTGATCACCAAATCAGCACTCCAAAATGTTTTGAAGGACATTCTAGAAAGAGAAAACAAAGACTACAACTCCATGAATCCCAAAAGAAGGAATATACCAGGCAAGGCAAACAATTAAACAGAGGGAGAGGAAAAAGGAGCAGGAGCCAGCAACAGGAAAATAACATGACAAGGATAAGTCAATATATATCAGTTATAGCCATCACTGTTGATGGTCTCAATTCACCAATCAAAAGACACAGACTGGCAGAATGGATCAAGAAGCAAGATCCAACAATATGCTGCATACAAGAAACATATTAATTAAAAAAGAAATTCATAGTCTGAAAGTCAAAGGATGGAAAACAATACTCCATGTGCCAGAAACCCAGAAAAAAAGCAGTGGTAGCTATTGTATTTGCAGATAAAGTGAATTTCAAGCCAAGACTAATTAAGAGAGATAAAGAAGATCACTACATCCTTGTAAAGGTAACAAGGTAACAATCATAAATATATATACAACGAATACGAGGGCACCCAATTATGTAAAACAAATAATAATAAGCATGAAAAATCAAATAAGCACTAATACAATTGTACTGGGGGATCTAAACACTGCCCTGTCACAAAAAGACAGATCAACTAGACAAAAAATGAAATAATACAACTGAACCATACTTTAGAACAAATGGACTTGGTGTCTACAGAGTGCTCCACCTCACATCAGAATACATATTCTTCTCAGCTGCACACAAGACATTCCCCAAAACAGACCACATACTAGCTCAGAAAACATGCTTAAGTAAATGCAAAGGAACTGAATTATCCCATGCATATTATCAGGCCATACTGCAATGAAATTGGAAATTAATGGCAAAAGAAACCAGAAGAAATTCATAAACACACGAAAATTAAATAGCACCCTCCTGAACAACCAATGGGTCACAGATGAAGTTAAAGAAGAAATTAGACAGTTTCTACAATTAAATGATAATGACAATACAATATACTGGAACTTATGGGACACAATGAAAGCAGTCCTAAGAAGGAAACTGATAGCAGTGAATAGGTGAACCTCAAACTTCTAGAAAAAAAAGAAGGCTAAGCCAAAAGCTCATATGAGGGAGGAAATTATAAAGATCAGAGAGAAATTAACACATTAGAGACTAAGAAAACAATACAAAGAATCAATGAATCAAAGAATTGGTTCTTTGAAAGATTAAATAAAATTGACAAACCTTTATTCAACCTTATCAAAAAAGACTCAAATCCATGCAATTAGGAATTCAAAGAGTGAAATCACAATAGACCCTGCAAAAATCCAGATCATCTAAACCTACTTTGAAAACTTGTATTCTAGTAATATGGGAAATGCAGAAGAAATGGACAGATTCCTAGATACATAGGAATTACCAAAGCTGCATTAAGAAGATATAAAAATCCTATATAAACCCATATCAATCAATGAAATCAAAGATGTAATTAAAAACTTACCAACAAAAAAAGCCCATGCCCTGATGGATTCACTACTGAATTCTACAAGAAATTTAGAGAAGACCTAACACCACGACTCCTTAAACTTTTTAATGAAATTGAAAGTGAAGCAATGCTCCCAAATTTATTCCTGGAAGCAAGCACTGCCCTGATACCAAAACCAGAGAAAGACCTAACTAAGCAAGAGAATTACAGGCCAATCTCCCTAATGAACATTGATGCAAAAATCTTCAGTAAGATACTGGCAAACAGAATGTAGTAAATTCTCAAGAAGATTATACACCATGAGCAAGTGGAATTCATCCCAAGGATGCAGGGATGATTTGACATACATAAATCAATAAATGTAATAGACTATATTAACAAAGCCAAGGACAAAAATCATATGATCATCTCAACAGATGCAGAAAAAACTTTTGACAGTCTAGCACCAATTCATGATAAAAAAACTCTACAGAAAATTGGAATAGATAGTCTGTATCTCAATCTGATAAAAACTCTGTGAAAAACCACAGCCAACATCATACTAAATGGACAAAAACTGAAAGCCTTCTCTCTAAAATCAGGACCAAGACAAGGACGTCCACTTTCTCCACTCTCATTCAACACGAACCCTGAAAACCTTTGCCAGAGCAATTAGACAAGAGAAAGAAACAAAAGGAATAAGGGTAGGAAAGGAAGAAGTTAAATTATCATTATTTGCAGATGATATATGAAAGGGGAAGATACTCTACATAGAA